GCCCCGCCCCGCCCCGCCCCGGGCCGCGGACTCCGTTTTCCTCCTCTCTCTACAGTGCATTCAAATGCATCTTAAAGATTGACGCGAGAGGAAGGGAGAAATTCTGTGTAGTGGTGCGTGGTTCAGAGAAGTCATTAGAGACCTTGAGTAAGCTGTCACTAATGATTCCGGCAAAATTTGGGGTCTTAAAAGAGGTGGACGCTTAATCAAGGTTAGGAGATTACCAGAAGCATAAATCATTAAGTTTTGTTTAATTGCTATGAAATGAAGTAGTGTATTTTCCTTGAATTACTTTAATTGCATTAAACTACAAAATACAAACGTCAAACACACTCATTCTCACAACGTCAAGCATTCTCTTACACATAAAACTGCTTTTTCATCGTATTTGGACCGAACTGAAAACTAAACGTACCTTGAAAATGCAGGTACATACTTCGTATTTTAGAGTATGGCCATTAGTCAAAGAAGATTGCAACTCTTTAGGATTTAGGTACTCCACGTTGACCCTCATAGAAATTAGCATATTTTACGAGAGCTGTGTAGGTGGTGAAACAAATTATTAGCTGTATTATTTAAAAGGCATTTTATTAAAATCATCTATAATCTGAAACAGAAATTTATCAACCAGTGAGATAGGCGATACTAGATCTCACTGCTTTAAGAATGTTATCTGACAATGCATCCTGCAGCAGGAAGATACAACATCAGAAGTAATCTCCTACTTTCTTTTCTATTACAGTTCAAAATTATTAGAATAAATTCATTGAAGCGCTTTACAATATACTTTCTACTGTTAAAATCCCCCAAAGACAATTATGCCGAATGAGCAGAAATACATTTTAAGAAACATCACTAAAAGTGACCGCCTAATAGAGGTCAATCTAAGGAATCTGCCTGGCCGCTGGCTGCCGGTTAGGTGATCGCTTAAAAGAGGAAATATTTCCATGCAATATCATGTTGGAAAATCAATCGAGTTCACAAAAGAATGGTCGTTTACTGAGGTGACTACTTAACCCAGGAAGACGATCTATCAGATTTCAATTAAGTGTATCATGTTTTAGCCCCCTATTCGTGAATTTTTTTTTATTTTTAAATTGAGTATATTCTAAATGAATTTAGTATTAAACGAGAGTTGTATTTAAATATTAGTTTGTCTAATGTGTTCTGCTGAACGTTTATAAGCGATACTTTAAAAAACTAATTACTTTAATTCGAGCCGTTGAATAAAGATAACTTATTGAATATCCTTGAAGCGAGCACTAGCGGATCCAAGGGGGGGGGGGGGGGGGCATGGGGGCTATGCCCTCCAAAGGCCTATAGTTTTCATTTACCTTCCTGTATTTGGCAAAATTTATTTAAATATTTATTAATATTCCAATATAATTATTTAAACAATAATATTGTTTAGTATCATATCTACAGTACATTAATATTATATAATATTATAACACATATTTATCATTTAACATAAAGATTCAGAAGTTGAATAGAACTGCGTTTCCAAATCACCCCTTAATAATTTACGTACAAAACGAAAATAAAATTTACTCCTCTTCACATTCCAATCTTATGTTCCAAGTGCCTCAAACAATCACCATTGTATTTTACAGTTAATTATAAAATGAATGTGCTAGATGATAGGACCGGTACTCTTCCATCTGACTTCCGACATACTACGAATAGCAAACGAATAGCAAACGAATAGCAAACGAATAGCTACGAATAGCAAACGAATAGCTAAGAATAGCTTGAAATAATTTGTCGCATCTGACCGCTAGGTCTCCCTGGATGCAACAAGAGCTCAGAACTCTGTAATCCCAGTGGTGAAATGCAATTTCGTTTGTCCTACGTTGAAGAGACCCTCGTCCTAACGTTTTCAGCCTTTGGCATGTTCTTTTCAGTATGTAAAGGATGTCTTTCAATTAAGAAAAAGGGAGAGCATAACTTGACTTTCCTAAGTAAGGAGATATAAGAGGAATATTTCTGAAAATTAAGGATTTTTTTTTTTAAATTTCGGAATGAAATAGAGATATGAAATAGGGATTAATGTATTGAAAGGAAAGAAGCGGTACGAATACAGATAAGGAAGAAATATTTTTAGAGAAACTGCTCTTAAGAAATTCCAAGGAAGAATCTGGATATGCGAAGGTAAAAATTATGATTAGATTGGAACTTTCAACAGTTGAGTTCTTTATTCTTCACCCACTGCTAGAAAGTCTCGTTCTATTGTGAGGAGTCATTTTTAAGTCGCCGTATTCACATGCCGATCGTACTCCCCAGTTTCTTTTTCTACATAATTATTTGCTATGCATTTTCATTGTGCGTAAATAAAATAAAGAAACTGAAATGAATGGTTGGGGGGAAAGAAGGTTAGACAAATAACTTAAATCTCCATACCGCTGACTAATCAGTTTTTTCTCCGATTCACTTCTAAGACAAACTTTTCTTCATCTATGATTGAATGACACCTAACATTTTGACAAAAATTACATATCTGCTTTCACCCCCTCCACTCTTCAAATATATTCTATTGTGAGGAATAATCATCACTGTATGCGTAATTCTAATGACAACGTAGTGGCCGACGAGCGAACTCCACATGTTTTGTGAAAACGCCGCGAGAGCGCACGCTCGTTCGTTTCATGCGTCACGCAAGCGCCGAGACCGCAACACACACCCTAACCAGGTGCAAGAGATTCTCCATTAAGACAATCCAACTTACAATAAATAAGAAGGTTCATGAATTACATGCAGTCAAATAAGAGATGTTCAACAATACATTTTGTTATATCGCAATTTGTTAACTTCTGTTCTTTTTTTCTTGATACTCCAAGATTAGAGCTTTTGAGCTTCGCGTACACTTCCATAATCTGGGTAAATTTAATTTATTAATTACATTTACACAAAAAGTTCACGAATGAGGTATATTATCGATCTCCATGGATCAAACACCTCTGTAGTATCCTAAAAATATCATTTTTAGAAAACACATTATTAAAGTACTCGTTCTGTAATAAATACAATTTTATTTTGGCCATCTATATTTACATTAAAATATTTTTCACTAAAAGTACTACTGAAATGTATGTATTTCTTTTGGCAGTTTATTTAGTGATCCAAATGCTGCCAAACACTTAACAATAATTGTTAGCAAACCTTTTTCAATTATTGAGATTGCTATCAGATCAAAACATGAGATAATAGCACAACATTTCACATTTATGTTTATATCGCAAGGCGTTTTAACCTGGTCACCAGTTTCCTATCGATGTGCTTACATGTATGCAATTTGATTTGTTGAATCTCAGAGCATAATACTAGTTGTATTGGAGTCAGAACGGATTCAAAGGTGGAAGTCAATTGCGACGTCTGACAGATATATGCCATAAAGAGCTCCTGAAGGGGTGGATTAATACACAAACAAATTCAACACGTCATTGGGGCTCCCTTGAGAGACCCTCAATAACTTTTTAAATAAAATTGTGTATTATTTCTTATATATGTAAAAATGAGTATAACCACCTTATTAAGAAAACAAACAATAATTAATTAAAATAAGAATTCAAAAAATAGAGACTGCTTTATAATAAACTTGTAAAAATACGTAAAAGATAATTATTTTAAAGTACATTAAAATGCTGTTATTTTATGTATTGTTTTAATATTAAATTTGGAATTAACAAAGTTTTTTAATATAACTTTGATTACTTGTCTTCGATATTTCAATTCCTTAGTAGGGAGTCCTAGAGTTTGATCATACTTAGAGCATCTTATATTAATCCTGTCCTAAATGTGCGGAGGGTTACAAATCTTCAAGAGCGGACAGCAGCCTCAAACAAGAGAAGCAGCTTTATTTCTGGACCTTTCCCTGTTCCATCAGAGGCTTTTAATTTCATAAGGCATATGTAACTGAGAAGTATATAAAACAACAAGGAAAACAAAATTATAATTTTAATGATACAAAATAAATATAATTGGTTTTATAATGAACCATTTACAGGTTGCCAGAATGTTTGGAGAACGATCATTTCACATTTTGTACGTGATTTTGCAGTTTTCGTTCGACTCGCCTTTTATTGCAGATTGAAAACCTTCAGAAATATACTGCGAAATATACTACCTAACATACAATTACAATTTTTTTCAGAGTATGGTAACATTTCGCATTTTTAGCAATCGCTAAAAACTACCATCTGCAATGATTTCTAATCCAGTTTAAAAATCATCGATGTTTAAAAACATCGATGGTTTTGGATCAAAGTTTTATTAACATCAATATTTTAATTTTGAGCAATGTTTGGAAATACCTATGGTTTGTTGGCGATGTGGTATCTTCAAGTGCGAATCAGTGGCGAATTTTTAGAGGAGGCAAGGGAGGTCAAGCCTTCCCACAAAATGAACAGCACTAAAATAATTTTTTTAACTTAAAAATTGTTAGAATTAACGTTGTTTAAAATTGACATAATTATTTACGGGTGGCGAGTAACATTTAAAAGAAATCGTTTCTCTTGTTGCAAACATTGCGTTACAATTCAAGATGGAGCCAAGCAGTTCTATGCGTTACACTTGGAGCACCATCAAGTATACTAGCATTGCATATACCTGCAGAGTACCGGCAGCTGAAGGTGATCCGTGCTTCCCAGTTGCCATGACCACGTCCCTCAACCAATAAGAAAAGAATAGTTTCATTTTGTCCAGCTTTGGAGTTGGTTTGGCACGGAGGCTCTCGCGCGTCTAGCCTCCTCCAGTGCAAGCGTGTTGCGATCGTAGTCTGACAGTTGAGATTGTGGTTGTGGCAGGCCTGGTATTTCAATGGACACCATAAAATCTTTATTGAAAGTGCCGTTTTCCCGGAGAAGTAATCCTAAAAGAAGAGAAATATTCGATCCAATTATTTTATTTGGAATGTCGCCCAAGTTTACCAGTAACTACCACCATTGACTATCAATTTCACAATATAATTCCGTGCTTAAATTTGTCTGGGCCACCCCAAGTTTTGCACCTACCGTTCGCCACGTGCGCGAATTGATGTCGAGCGTGCCGCCCGGCACGGCGCCGCACCGTGGGGTCTCCTGCGTCTAGTGACTCATCGCTGGCGGAGTGGTGGGGGCTGAGAAAGGTGGCGGGAGGGGGGCACGGCCGCTTTCTCCGAGCGCAGGCGGCCTTGCCCTTGCATTCCCCTCTCCCTCGCCCGACGCGACGACCCCTCCTCGCGACCCAGGTCAGGTCAACGCCATTCATTGGTCTTTCCTTCCTGGTGGCTGCTTGAACCACGCTGCATTCCAGGGGAGAACAAGCGTCAATACGGGTTTCATACGCCCGGCACAGTTCTGAGGCTTGGCAATATATCTAAATTTACTCCCGTTCTCTGCTCTCAGTTCTTCTTGACAGTTCGGGAAAGCTCAAAATTCTACTATTACTACTATTACTGTATATACTAATTAGAATAGGAAAGATATGGGCACTTGCCTCCTTCCAATTGGGTAATAAATGCATAAAATACAACAGCAACAATAACAAACTTCTACGAAAACCAAAAATTGCGAAATAATTGTTAGACAACACATGCTTCGAATTGTATCAATTCATCTGAAAAAATATATTTTCGTATTAAATTAATGTAATATTGCTAAAACTTATTATTCCCTTTGGCAAAATCTACACTCCCGCTTAACATTTTGAACTGTTACTTATAATAGTAATAAATCTGTGGTCACGGGGTAAAAGTTCTTTAGTCAATTTTTGGCGAAATTGGGTTAAGTACTGAAACTACAAGTACTTATATTTTCTTTTAGCAAAACGACCGAATTCAAATGTAGCCTCCATAACTACAAAAAAGCGTTGAGAAATATAGACAACTCAATAATCGAACCCTGGTTTTCTCCAACATTTTTGACTTAAGAACTTTTGCCTCGTGACTACAGAAGTATTAAATAGAGCTGTCAAATTCATTCTATATCCTGAGTTTAGTTAATCATATTTTCCTAAAACTTCAAATATGTATGTTTCATGACAAAACATTGAAAATAAAAAACGTTTTACATATAATGCTTATTTTGCATATTTAGGGCTTTTTGGCATATAATTGAATGATTCTGCATATTTTTCATCTTTTTGCCTAAAATAACACAAAAATATTCATATTAATCACAAGATTTATCAAAATAATTCTGAGAATTGTTAGATCAAATGGTAAGGCGAAGGGTGATGAGAGAGTGTTTCTCATGGTGTCTACCATACATGATTAAAGCGTTCAGAATATAAAAACCTTTGTTTCCAAATACGGTACATGCGTCATGCTGTGCACAGAGTAGCAGAGAAAATCTGAGAATTTAGTCCAAATGTCAATGAAGCTATCAACCAGATCAAGAAAATATATTGCAAGGCTCCTCAAAGAATTTCTGAATACGAAAAATTGGAAGACCTTCCTTTGCCCCCAGAGACTATTACTACTCGGTAGGGGACCTGATTATATGCAGCCAATTACTATGCAAAATAGCTGGAGAAGTTTAAAGAGGATGTTAACATGTTGGATAAAGATGAGGCTGCTTCCTTAAAGAAAGCCAAGGAAGTGCTGAGCAATAGAAGATGCCAAGTGGAACTCATATTTTGGTTTTCTTCCAAACACAATAAAGAAGATGGAGAGTTCAAGGGAAACTTTAGTAGATACACTTGCTATTATTCAGTAGGAAAGGGATAAATTGGTGGCAGCTCTACGTGAGATATGTGAAGCACTTAGTTTTAAAACAGAAGTTTTCGGAAAGAAACTAGGACTTCGTACTTTCAAGAGAGTGAATAAACTTTTGGAAGAATATAATGTTCTTCTTCTAGACAATACCTTGAGCACAAAGTGTCAAAATGTAAGTTCGCGCCCAGAACATGCTATGGTAACTATCTTTTTCTGCGTACAAAATGACAGGAAATACACCCGAACAGTAGATAGCCTGAATAAAATTCTTGTGTCTTTCTGAGCTCTTAAAGCAAAATAAAACGAACAGAACTAGATACTAATCTGTTTTTAATTTGCCTATTCCCTTTTTCTCTATTTGGCAAAAAGATGTAATGTCATTGTAAACTACATTTTTGTAACGGAATGCTGCATATCTTAACAATTTCTGGGCATCTTCCAACACTTTTGTGGCATTTTCAGCGATAAAACCTTGCATAAACTTCCCCAACTGTAGAAATAAAGAAAAATAGCAGCGCTGAAGGACACCCTTTTGGAAATAGTATTTTTTCCTGTAATGTCCCTGCCTTTGTCCCTGGCTATAGCGAATTCAGAGAGGGGCATGGCCCCCATGCCCATTCCAAAAAAGTCCTTAAGTTTTCGTTTGCTCGCTACTTTTATTTGGCGAAATTTAAATATTTATTAATGTTCGAATTATGTAATTATTTTAAAAAAATAATATTGTGTAGTATCATATATACGCTACAAAAATAAAATAAAATATAATATAATAAGAAATGTGTATTATTTAACAAAAATCCATGCCGGCCCCTGTCCAGAGTGATGCAAGTGCGGCCTCGTGTGTTGCAGACGCAGCTGGTGTTCCAGCACTACGTGATCAGCAACCAGGAGCGCTTCTTCCGGGAGGCGGACCGCTTCGCGCCCGAGCGCTGGCTGCGCGCTGGGGAGGCGGGCGACGGGGGCGAGTGCCCCGTGGGGGCGCAGCGCGTGCACCCCTTCGCCTCGCTGCCCTTCGGCTTCGGCCGGCGCATGTGCCTGGGCCGGCGCTTCGCAGACCTCGAGATACACACCGTCGTCGCCAAGGTGCCGCTTCGCTCAATGCGCTTTTTCTCTTCTTTGTTGTTTTTTCTTCTTTTTTTCTTCTTTTTTCTTTTTTTCTTTTTTTCTTTTTTTTTCTTTTTTTTCTTTTTTTCTTTTTTTCTTTTTTTTCTTTTCCCCCTTTTTCCTTCTTCCCTTCTCGTTCAACAAGCTTTGCCTTTCGAGGAAATTATTTATACAGTTCACATATTTTGGTTTTTTGGGAATGGGTATCCAAAAACAGCGGTTAGTATTACTCAAAAGAACGTAATCATTACGCAAAATAAAATAAAGCGAGATTGAAGACTTTCAGTTTTTAGTTCAAATGACAGTTTTGGAGAATTACAGAGGTTTGAATCGGTTTGGGATACCTGGATTGGATACTTGGGTATCTAGCATTGCGACCTTGACAAAATAAATGAGCAAGGGAAAGAGTGAAGGATTTGAGAAAAATTTTGAGTTATTCGTATTATGTGGTCGCTTGATGAAGGCACATTTAATTATATGTGAATCTGGATCCTTGGCATTTAAATTTCTTCTTAAAAACAGATTTTGAATGGCTGTTAATTTTTGGTGATTGCTAGTGACAGCACATCCACCAACTGGATATGCACAAGTTGTGGCTGGTAGAATTAAGGATTTATATATTATTGGACGCTCAACTTTCAATGTAGAACGTGCATTTATTGGAGGGTAGAGTTTTGATATTTTTGCAGATACTTTGTTAGCTAATTGCGCTTCTCAGTAACACATAACGAACGGAAGACAAGGGATGCGATAGCGCAATGGCAATATTGTGCCTCCGCGGTATCTTTGGCCGGGACGTTCTAGGGTTCGAGTCCCGACGGCTACGAATTTACGAAATTAACTATATAGTTGAGTCGAATTCATCTCCTGACTGGAGGGGAATTCTAGCAATCGGCTACTTTGATCGGTACTTTCCGGTGATTACGAGTATTTACTATAAAGATTTTGGTGGGTGTTATGTGAACACATTCAGTAGTGAATGGTTCGTCCATGTTTACGATAAAAGTTGATGTTTATTCCCATCCAAATAAACGCTTTCATTGGTAATGGCAAACGACAGCTAAAAGAGGGAAGGACACAAGTTAAACTGCGCTGAGGTCTAAAACGACAAACTGGCCGTTTTGAGCCCGCGGGATACAGTAAACACGAGACGCGCTAACAGTCAACAACCTTTCATGTGTCCTGAGCGTCTGTGGTTAGGGTTTTGCTTCACAAAATCCTCCCTTCTCCTGTAGTCTGTAGTAAATATTTAGAACAATTCGCGTATAAATAGAAATTATTTTATATTTAATTTGGACTATATATATATATAGTCCAAATTACCAAATTCAAATTCAAATTATTATTTAAATAACTCTTAAATTATTTTAATAACCTTCTTTCTTTACCTCGAGTTTCAGATTTCACAATTCAGTCGCAAAGATTTAATGAAGTGACTAGTTTTATCTTTTGTGCGATGTGTCATTTTGACTCAGTAGAATCAGTGTCTCTTAATATACAGTACAACAATTCTATGAAGGCGAGCACATTTTAACATGACTCTGCGGATCTTAAAATTTTTAGTTAATTAACCGAAGGTATAGTTGAAATATGTAGTACTTCATTCGCACAACGCAACAGAACTTTTATTGCTTTTGTGCTGTAATTAAATATTTTAAATACAATATAAAATAATTTCTATAGGATCCCAAATTGTAATGAAATGTTCAAAAAAACTGTAATTTAATAGTATTTTTTAATGTTTGACTCCCTGCTGGGACAGAATTCTTTCAACAGTCAAAATTCTGCTATTATTATTATTATTATTATTATTAATTATTATTATTATTATTATTATTATTATTATTATTATTATTACTATTATTATTATTACTATTATTGTTATTACTATTATTATATATGCCATTACCGACCACGCTAAACCATTAACGTGTGTAATATTTCCACGATCAGCTTTTCAGCTGTATACCTCAGTACGACAACGTTGTTACGCCTTGAAGTGGGAATTAGGAGACGATAGAAATTATTTATCGCCCGATGACAAATGCATCTCGTTTTTTAATTAAATAATTCGCATGTCCTCTTAAAAAAAAAAATTAAAAGCACGATTCGGATTCCTGGCCCCCCCCCCCCCATTCGCAGCGGGGTTTCTAATTGGAGGGGCTCGTGATGGGAGGCGGCGTGGGCTGGGGCTCGGTTTCGGCGCGCGGCAAGCGCAGGGGGCCGTCGACGGCGTGTACATGGGGTGCACGCCGGGTAGGGTGAGGGCTGCTGCGGCCACTCGATCTGGAACGCCTGCACCATCTTGCAACAGCGACACCCCACAAATGAACCTTCATATAACATAATAACATCAAACAACAATAATAATAATACTAATAATAATAATATAAATAATAATAATAATAAAATAATAATATAATAATAATAATAATATAATAATAAGAAGAAGAAGAAGAAGAAGAAGAAAGAAGAAAGAGAAGAAGAGGAGGAAGAAGAAGGAGGAAGAAGGAGGAGGAAGAAGAGGAGGAAGAAAGAAGAGGAGGAAGAAGAGGAGGGAAGAAGAGAGGAAGAGAGGAGAAGAAGAGGAAGGCAGAAGAAGAGAGAAGAAGAGGAGGAACGATGAGGAGGAAGAAGAGGAGGAAGAAGAGAGAAGAAGAGGAGGGAAGAAGGGAGAAGAAGAGGAGGAAGAAGAGGAAGAAGGAAGATAGAAGGAAGAGAGGGGAAGAAGAAGAAGAGGGGAAAGAAGAAGAGGAAGAAGAAGAAGAGGAAGAGAAGAGAGAAGAAGAAGAAGTAGGAAGAAGAGGGAAGAAGGAAGAGGAAGAAGGAAGAGGAGAAGAAGAGAAGAAGAAGAGGGAAGAAGAAGAGGAAGAAAGAAGAGGGAAAGAAAGAAGAGGAAGAAAGAAGAGGAAGAAGAAGAGGAAGAAGTAAGAGGAAGAAGAAGAGGGAAGAAAGAAGAGGGAAAGAAGAAGAAGAAGAAAGAAGAAAAAAGAAGAAGAAGAAGAGGAGGAGGAGAGGAGCCGGGTGGCTGCGCGTTCGAGTCGTGCGTAACATGGTTCATATTGTGATTAACACTCATTCGTCATTCTATCGTCTCCCTAAATTCACACTTCAGGCGTGAGGAATACAGCTAAAAAAGCTGATCTCGAAATAATTACACACGGTTAATGGTCAAGCGTGGTCTGTAATGGCCATATATAATAAATGACAGCCATAATAAAAACTTCGGGACACGCGGAGAATTAAATGTGCCTTTCTTAAGCGACCATATATCACGAATAGCTGTACAATTGTTAAATTTCTGTTCTTCATACTCCACTCTTCCCCTTGTCATTCTATCTTTCAGTCTAGTCGCAATGCTGCCATACCCAAGTATCCGATCCAGATATCCAAACCGATTCTGTAACCACTGTAATTTCTCCAAAACTGTCATTTGAATAAAAACTAAAAGTCTTCCACCTCTCTCATTTTATTAGCACAATGTTACGTTTTTTATATCAATTTGGCTGGCCGCGGAAGCCTACGATTCTCTCAATGTTTACGTTCTTTCAAGAATAAACCACTGCTTTTGGATGACCATTCCCAAAGGCCAAAAACTATGTTACTAGCATAATTAACCTTCACGAAGACAAAGCTTGTTTGAAACGAAAAGGAAAAAAAAGAAAAAAAAAAAGAAAAATTAGAAAAAGGCAAAAAATGATAAAAAAAGATAATAAAAAAGGAAAAAAAGAAGAAAAGAGAAAAGGGAAAAAGAAAACAAAAAATGAAGAAAAAAACAAACAAGAAGAGAAAAGCGCATTGAGACGAAGCGCACCTTTGGCGACGACGGTGTGTATCTCGAGGTCTGCGAAGCGCCGGCCAGCACATGCGCGCGCGAAAGCGAAGGGCAGCGAGGCGAAGGGAGTTGCACGCGCTTGCGCCTCCACGGGGGGCACTCCCCCGTCGCCCGCACTTCCCCAGCGCGCAGCAGCGGTTCGGGCGCGAAGCGGCCCGCCTCCCGGAAGAAGCGCCTCCTGTGTTGCATGATCAACGTAGTAGCTGGAACACCAGCTGCGTCTGCAAACACACGAGGGCCGCACATTGCATCACTCTGGACAGGGGCCGGCATGGATGTTTTTGTTAAATAAACACATTTACTTTGACATTATACATCTATTTTTAGTCAGTGTTACATACTACACAATAATTATTTTTTAATATCGAACAATAATTAAATATTTAAATTCATTTTGCTTAAATAAAAGAAGGAAGCAAACTTTAGGCATTTTTTGGGGGAGAGAATGTGGCGCCACGCACCCCCTTGAATCGCTACTCCAAGACAAGGGCAGGAACAGCACAGCAAAAAGTGGCAATCTATTCCCAACTGTTATAGTAAAGAACCAGCGCTTGCTATGGTTCTTTATACTACTTGCATTTTGGGGACGTTTATGTATAGATTTAACCCTGAAACTGCCACAAGTGTTGCGAATATAGAAAGAATTATCTACAGCAATGCAGTGTTGGTGGCAAAAAAACTTTGTTTGCAAATGGCATATCTTTTTTGAAAAAGGAAAAGAGCGATTAAAAACGAATAGTACATATACTTCTTCACATTTTATTTTGCTTTAAGAGCACAGAAAGTCACAAGTATTTTATTCAGATTATTACTGTTTAGGAATATTTCCTATCATTTTGTACGAGGAAATGATCTATACCACATCATGGTTATGGGTGCGAAACTTTCATATTTTGACAAGTTTTGTGCCCAATACATATGTCTCCTTACAAGGAACATTATATCCTTCCAAAAGTTTATAACTCTCTACGTACGAAGTTCCTAGTTTCTTTCGAAAACATTCGTTTTTAAAACTAATTTTGCTCACATATTCACGTAGAGGCTGCACACCAATTTATCCCTTTTCCTACTGAATAATAGCAAGTGCATCTACTAGAGTTTCCCTTGAACTCTCCATTCTTCTTTATTGTGTTTGGAAGAAAACCAAAATATTGAGTTCCACTTGGCATCCTCTATTGCTCAGCTTTACTTCCGGTTGGCTTTCTTTAAAGAAGCAGCCTCATCTTTATCAGCATTTTTTACCGCTTCTATTAACCTCTCCAGGTATTTTGCATAAAAATGGCTGCATATTAACCAGGTCCCCTACCAAGTAGTAATTAGGCTCTGGGCAAGGAAAGGTCTTCCAATTTTTACGTATTCAGAAATTCTATGAGAAGCCTACTGCAATGTATTTTCTTGATCTGCGTTGATTAGCTTCCATTGTCATCATGGAACTAATTCTCAGATTTTCTCTGCTACTCTTGGCCAGGCATGACGCATGTACCGTATTGCAAACATAGTTTTTATATTCTGAACGGTCTTTAATCATGTATGGTAGACACCATGAGAAATACTCTCTATCATCACCCTTTCGCCTTACCAATTTGATTCTCACAATTCATCAGAATTATTTTGATAATCTTGTGATTTATCTCCTCGG